GCTCCCCTACCCATTTATCTCTCGGATCTTCAATTAAACTGCCCTTCAATTAATCCCACATGTGTTCATCGGCCAGGTTGGCACGTTAAACCATAACTATCACAATAGGTTAAAGTGCAAAGTGGAGTCACTCAAGACAAGGAGAGATTTGGCCTAGAGCTTGGCTAGAAGTTGCAGTCATATCAAGAACCTTAGCTTTGCAATGCTCTTTCTCAATATAGATGGCAAAGGCTGCACGTAAGCATCCTAGAGACAGGCACCAGGATGTTCACTGATCATTAAATGCCATACAGATTTATTAAGCACCTTCTAGGTGTAAATGCCAAAGCCAGGAAAACCCCATGGAACAGTTCTGCTCTGAACTCATGAGTCAGAACTGACTTGACGGCAGTGGCCTTGGTTTGTTTATGTGCCAGGCACATCTCTAAGGACTGAAAAGTGGGCATGAACAAACCCCTAACGTTTTATCCTCATGGTGTGTGTATGCAGTGTTGTTTGAATAGCTTAACAGAAAAGCCTGAAAGCATTTTAAAATATATATTGTTAGAAGAATAGATCTGCTACATCAATGTGGCTATAGCTCAGAAACCATGCTGGGTTTGGGGAAAAGAAATGTGCAGAGCATTAGGTACAGAATCCCATCTGTGTGAATAAAACCAAGTAACACTATGGATTGCTTATGGATACATATGTGTTATAAAAACAAACAGTTTACACAAATAATGAGCACAAGGAAGGAGAAAATGTTCTGAAAATGATGGTGGTAACGATTGTACAACTCTTCTTGATATGATCGAACAGTTGAATTGTATGATATGTAGATGAAGTGCCAATAAAACTGTTAAAAAATTAATGACTGAATGAATGCTTTAGACTCTCCTCAAAATCAGGATCTTAACTGTCTCCTGGAAGGCAGGGAAAGGAACTGGGAGGGAAAATTCAAGTTTAACTGGCATGATTTATTTCTATTTTTAAAAACCGGAGACAGTGAAAGCCCAAAATCCATTAGCAGCATACCCATGTGGATTAAGGCTTCAGAAAATCCTCCCTGACCATTGACCAATGGTGTGAATAGCCCTGCTATCAGACAGATCGTGGATTAAGGCTGATGTATTTAAGTTAAGATTTAACTCCTCATTTGTCTCCCTTTTGAAACCTTAAATTTGTTCTGGATTTTATTATTTTCTGCTTTCTTTTTTATTGAAGTCTTTCTGTTTTATTTTGGATGTGTGTGTGTGTGTGTGTGTGTGTGTGTGTGTGTGTGTGTGTGTGTGTGTGTGTGTTTATATGAAATCTAGGACAGGTAAACTTGAAGAGCTACTAACTGGATGATCAGTTTCTGGGGGCTTTGGCTAGGGAGCCTGGGGGGGAGGTGGGGAGTTAATCGTGAGTACAAAATGAAAACAGTGTTCCAACATCGATTGTGATGGTGTCTTTGACCATTGAAGTAGATGGTGTCAGGATCATATTCAATGGAACTGGGAGGTAAAACAATCTGAAACTAAAATGTATAAAAATATTACCATGGCATATTTTGGACTTCAGCCATACTGGTTGTTTAGCCCTTTGTCATTCTCTCTCTCTCTCTCTCTCTCTCTCTCTCTCTCTCTCTCTTTCTCTTCATTTTCAAGAAGAGGACAGGGGCGATTAAGATCACATCTCTTAGTGACCCAGAGAGGAACCTGCTCTAAGCGTGTCTCGTCTCTGGGATCCTGCCCTCCAGTAATGACCCCCCACCTAATGCATAGCCCCTGAGAAGTAAGGAGAGAGGGGTCCAGTAGCTAGGTCCACAGCTGCCCTAGAGGATAGCGAGCTGCTTGCCGCCCCCTAGTGGTCAGGCTGAGCTTGGCAGTGGTATCTTGAGGCGAGAATGTGGCGCTTGGGACCGCGGGAGTGGAAATTGGTTCAATGCTTTGTAGAGTCCTCTGGAAATGACCAGAAAAGTTGAAGAGGCGTGTACCCCAATATTCAGAATTTCAGATTTTTAGGATTTTACCCTAGTGAAATTCTCAACTATATGCACAAGGAAACACAAATGTTCTTTGCACCGCTATTTATAAACCAAAACTCACAGCCATCGAGGCGACTCCGACCAATGACCACTCTGTACAGAGTTTCCAAGGCTCTAAATCCTTACAGGAGCAGACAGTCTCATCTTCCTCCCTGTGTACAGCTGGTAGGTTTGAACCACCCACCTTGGGGCCAGTAGTCCAGCGTTTACCTGACAGTGCCACCAGGGCCCCTAGCATATTTTATCGTGGCAATTAGTCAAAAATGGAAACTTTACCTAGCATCATGAGAATAGAGCAATAGCATGAGACATCTATATCCAATGGAACACTACACCACAAATGACAAGTGACAGCTAGCGTCGCAGGTATCAGTATGGATGCGGAGGACAGGTGAGTTGCATAAGAAACCATACCACACCTACACCAAAAAAGCAACACTCACACCATCAAGTTGATTCTGACTCATGGGACCCTACAGGGCAGGGCAGAGCTGCCCGGTGAGTTCATGGGAACCCTTTACAGGAGCAGAAAGCCTCCTCTTTCCCCTTCCCTAGGTTTGAACCACCAGCCTTGTGGTTAGCAGTGCAGCGCTTAACCCACTACACTACCAGAATGCCTTTGATTTCATATCACTGACATTTTCTTCCTTTTATTAAAAAAAGCAAACTAACAACATTTCAGAATTAAGTAGAGCTGGGTGGTGTGTAACTGAGTGTTTGGGGGTTAGACTTTTCTACGTGCCTAATAAGGTGTGTTGTGGGGGGAGGTCAGATGCGCAGGCATTCCCTCCCTGAAGGCAATCAGTTGCCAGACTGCTGTCTCATCCCTCCACAGGGGTGGGCCTGCTCCCTGCCTCTGGGGACAATGGACAGGCTCCTGTAGGAGGGGTTTGTACCCTACTGATAATGGTTCCTATGGAGACCCAGAGACCACCCCCTAGACCACCCTCTCATTGCTGTGTAACCTATAGTGCAACTCCTCCCTGTGACATATGTCTCTACCTGTAATTAGTGGGCTGGCTTGCCCCTAAAAGGTATATAGGTGTGAGTCAGCAATATAGATCTCTCTCTGACTCTGAGCTCCTTGCTGCTCACTCCCTGGTCACTCCCCTCTCCCTTGTTCCCTTCCCCTCCTTCCCTCCCCCCTCCCTCCACTTGGACCTCCAAGCTGGGCTGAGGTGAGCAATGGTACCATGTAACATGTCTGACTGTATTATTGTAATATCTCTCATGCTCTAGATGACTTTAATATAATACTTATATCTCAACCGTACAATTGTGCATTACTGAATCTGAGTAGTAGTAATAAGAGTATTAGCGGTGGGGGCTGGCCCCCCACCTCCGTGTCACATTTTTAATTTAATACTACAGTGTGGAGCGTATCTCCACAGAGAGAGACACAAGGTGGTGGTGGTGTTTTTGAAAGGTGGTGCACAGGAGAACCAGCCTCTGAGGCGGAGGGAAAGCAGACAAAGACTGGGAGGCAGCAGGAGCTTGGCGGGTGAGCAGGGCTGAACAACCAGCGGGAGCACATTGAGAGAGGGCAGCAGGGGCGGCAGTGCAGCCTAAGATGGAGCAAGAGTGGGGGGTGCGACCAGGCCAGGAAGGTGCCGCAGAAAGGGACCGTGTTTCCCCCATGGCACAATGAAAAGAGCCAGGGAATTTGAAGTGGAGGAGTGTTGACATTGAACCTCTTTACATCTTGAGTTATCTCCCGTGTAGAAAGCACAGAGGCAGGGAGAAGACATGAAAAGCTTTGGTAGCACTATGCCAGCTCCAGGATAATGGTGGCAAGCACAGATGGCAAGAACTAGACAGAATATAGATACATTTGAGAGGACTCAATAGAACCAGGTGATAGCTGGACATGAGAGACGACTGCGGCCGCTTCGTGAGTAACTGGTGGTACTATCTGCAGAGATGAGAAGGGCTGAAGGCGCAGCAGGGAGGAGGATGAAGCTTGGACCCGGGATACGCGAAGGTCCAGGTGATTCTGGGAATGTAGAGCAAGTGGTTGCATCTTCCGCTCCCAAGCGCACAGGAGAGGTCCGGCCAGGCCAGCAGATATAAAGTTGGGTGTCGTTGAGATGTTATTTAAAGCCGCGGCACCAGGAAGACAGCGCTCCGTCAAGAAAAAAGGGTCCAAGACTGAACTCTGAGGATCCTTGCATTTCCTGTCAGGAAGAAGGGGAAGATGAAGCAAACAGATGCCAAAGGAGTGGCCCGAGAGGTAGGAGGCATATCAGGAGAAGAAGCAGTGACAGATGCCAACAGAGAAGTGTTTCAAGAGAAAAGGAGTGGCGGAGGCTGGTACCCTGAGGTTGGCAAGCCAGACATCGTTGTGACTGCGACAAGAGCCGTGTGGCGGAGTGGTGCGGGGCGGGGAGGGTGGAAGTGGGGGAACTCTTTGGAGAAGCTGGGTTATGAAAATGGGCGAGAAATGGGGCGGGAGCTGGAAAAGATGAACAAGGCAGGTGGGAGAGGTTCGTTTGCTTTGGCTTGTTGTATCCGTGCGTGTGTGGATGCAGACGGCAGGCGGGGTGGAGGAGATGAGTGCAAGGTGGGTGCTTGGAGAAGAAGGGTGGGGACGCTGTCTGAGGTCACACATGCGCATGCGGCTGAGCCAAGATCCCAACTTAGGTCTATCTGCCTCCAAGCCCCATGCTCTTTCCCGGGTGCCTCCTGGCCTCCTTTGATTTTTTCCCCTTCCTCCTGAGGTCCTTCTCTCTGGGGCCAGTACACTAAATTCTCCGCCCCCTCCTCCTCTAAATACACAAATCTTAGAATATTCCCATTTGCACTTGGGTCCTGTCTTTACCCAGGGAACTGGAGGGGAAAATAAGCAGGCTGAAGAAAATTAAATCTGACCTATTTTATGCATTCTGTATAAATGCATGAAATAGATTATGTTTGACAGTGGTAAACAGAGAATCCCCAACAATTCAATTTATCGCTTTAATTATATATGCTTTTCTCCCTCAATCTCCAGGGAAGAATGAGCCTCCAGCTAATCAGCCCTTCACGAGAGCCATTCCTTCGGCCCCAAGCCTGCTACTGGTAACCACGGGCTCCTTGTTAAAGGCTGTCCCATTTAAACACAATGGAAGGGGAGAGAGAAAAATGTAACATGCTGCCTAAGAAGATGCATGTAAGCAAGAAGGCAACGGGTGTGCATGAAATGGAGAATAATGAACTGGAGGGAGGGGGGCGTGCAGCTGTCAATCAGCTGAACAGCACCGATTACAGGGAAGGACTTCCATGGAAATGGTTGCGCTCCCCCTACGGGTACTGCCTGATTTTTCTACTGGACTAGCTCAGAGTCGACCACCACCACTCGTAAATCCACTGCCTTGGGCATGAGAGGACAAGCAGGTGAGAGGTTGGAACTGGTGAGGGTTCTGTCAGAGGGAGCTCGGCTGATCTCGGCCTCCATCCAACACGCATTTGGTGTGCACACGTTTTCCCAGCTACTGGAGAGGCGCGAAGAACAAAACAAACATGGCCCTAGTCCTCGAGAAGCGTGAGGTACGGTAGTGGAGCCTGCACAGCGGCGATTACCATCACAACGGAGAAAGAGGGCTCCGTGATAAGGTGGGGGAAGGGGGTAGCCTTGCATCAGCCTGGGTGGGGGACAGTGATCAGAAGTTTCTGCAGGGAGGGAGACACGGGCTGAACCCGAAGAAATGACTAGAATCTAGCCAGACTGACAGAGGAACTACACCACGTGTGTGCACATCCACACACACAAGACACCTGTGATACGAAAGGCTCACATCAATGGGAACATTCTTATTCGGCTCATTTGGCAATAGGGGTGGCACTTTGGGGCGCTTGGGAGTCTTGACACTCAAGTTTCTGACTTGCACAATGGGGTGGGGCGAGGCAGTGTCCCCCGAGGTGGGCAACGCCAGGAGAGGAGCGAGCTGGGAGGCCGAGCCTCGGCTCCATCTTCATGTTCAATCAGAGGGGCCTCCGAGACTTCCTACAAGAGAATGAGCTCTTCAGATCGGACAACATAGGTTCCTGGGCTGGCTCAAAAGAGATAGGGGAGATTCACTGGATTTGAGGTGATCATTTAAAACCAGGGGCACAGATGAGAATGGTGAACAAGAAAAGAGCCAGGCACTGGGATAGGAAGAACCCCATCACAGCCCTTGAAGGAGGCGGAGCCTGCGAGGAAGAGCGGAGGAAGAGCGGGAGAGCGGGAGGCGAACAGGAGAGGTCAGTGTCATGGGAAGGATGTGTGAGGATGGAGGGAGTGGTCAGCAGGAAGGACGCTGGCACACAGTCCCATGAAACGAGATCAACATATGGACCACTGAATATGCTCATGATATTCCAGAGACGTGAAGAAGCTGAAGCCAATTTGGAGTGGGTTGAAAGATGGTGAGAAGTAAGCAGATGAAGCTTGGGCAACAGATGCCATCTTTCCAAACGTTTTCACTTCATGGCACATATAGAAAATCGTATTTAACTGGAACATGGAATAATTCAGCAAGGCTGCTCACTGCTGGAAGTGTAGCCTGCCCAGCTGCCCCGAGGATAAGATCAGCACATATCTCATAACACCCATAGCCATTTGAGGCACACCAGTGTGTCTCGGAGGCACTGGGAGGATTCTTGTTGACCATGAGGAGGCCTACGTCCAATTCCAGCCAGGTCACTGCATGGGCAGCCACCACCTGTCTTTCACTGAGGACTTGTGTTCCTATGATAATGAATATGTTTTATCAGAACTCCTAAACTCAGGTTGTCCAGGAAGAAAGGTATGGTGACCTGCTTCCAAAAACTCAGCCAAAGAAAACCCTGTGGTACGATCTACAACCAATCGTAAGGAGGTGGCATTTCATTCCATTGATCGTGGAGGAACCAAGATTAGAACCCAGATCTACCTGCCTCCGGGATTCCTAACAATTCCCCTTCGATGAATCCTGTACCTCAGATTGTGCTGGTCTGGACATGAAAAGATGGATTCAACTTGGCCTTTGCTTGTATGGAAATCCCAGCCTGGAAGCGAAGACAGATGAACAAATACAAAACTGGAATGAGTCAAATAATCAGGGTCCAAAAGAGCATTGTAAGAGTCATACCAAGTCTATTCCCCGAGTTCCTTGAGGCTGGGATGAAGTGGGCACAGATCAAGCACTTACAAAAATGTTTGTTGGGTGCAGGAAGGGATGGAAGGATGGATGGATGGATGGATGGATGGATGGATGGATGGATGGATGGATGGATGGAAGGACGGGTGGGTGGGTGGATACATCGGTGGGTGGGTGGGTAGGTGGGTGGACCAGTGTGTAGATAGACAATGAGGTTTCAGTGTGAACGAAGGTTCTTTCCTTAGGGCAACTGTAGTCCATATAGCCACAAGAGGTCACTGCAGACCCGACACAAAGTTTTGGCTTTGGTGCATCCTCCTGGGTTCTCTGGGGAAGGAAGAGGAGGGAGGGAGGGAGGGAACCAGGGTGATGTCCAGAGGCCTCTTGGTATTTTCTGCCACCTGCAGGCCCCGGCCCAGAGCTTCAGTTCCATCGTTGGTTCCATTGCTGGAGACTCTTGGTGCTTTCCACCCACAAGTTCTAGGCTTTTGACACATTTCTCCAACACGGTTTCTTCCTCAGCCCACACTCAGAGGAATGGCCCAGGCCTTCCACTGGAGTTCCAGCTGAAGATGCGGCTTCAGTCCCAGACAGATTCATAGCTGAATGCCTTTGCACCTGTGATGCTACCTCTCTGAGCCCCACGAGTAAACACCAAGGTTGGAAGAGAGGTTCTCGTGCCTTCAGACTTGCTGACACACTCTTCCTTCTACCAAAAGCTCAACTCTACCCCACCACTTGTTGGATAGTTTGTATACTGTGGAGGCTTCCGTGTTCCTGTTACTGGAAGCTTTGCCACTGGCATTTCAAATACCAGCGGGTGGACAGGCTTGAGCGGCACTTCCAAGCTAAGACAGTCTAGGAAGAAAGGTTGGCGCTCTGCGTCTGAAAAATGAGCCACAGAAAACCTTCTGGATCATATCAGAACTTTGTCCAATGTAGCACCGAAAGATGAGTCCTCCTGGGCTGGCAGGCATTCAAACACACACTGGCCACAACACTAGACTCAAGCAGACGGACGGTCGTGAAGAAGGCCCACCTCGGGGCAGCGTTCGGCTCTGCTCTACAGAAGGTGGCCAAGAGTCAGAGGCAACTCGCGGGCAACTAACCGCAGCAGCCTCGTCCAGCATGCCCTACGGGTCAGGCATTCTTCGAAGCCCGCTATACCCAGTGGGGTGGCCCGTAGCCATGGGCAGCTTTTCAAATGAATTGCCACTAAAAACATTTAAAAGTCAGTTCCTCGGTCTCACTAGCCAGCCTCAAGCGCTCAAAGCACGTGGCTAGAACTGGATCTCCCGGAGACCATTTTGAACATCACAGAAAGTTCTATTCGCGAGCATAAGCTGCTCTACATGTGTTTATTCCACGGACCCTTCGCAGCAGCCCTGTGACGCAGGAACAATCCCTGACCCACTTTAAGAGATAAGGACCCGGAGGTTAAGTGACTTGGCCGAAGTCTCCCAGCAGAGTGGTATCCCGAACATGATTCAAGCTCTGGTAGGTGACTCCAGTGCCCATGCCTCTGTGCCCAGAGCTGCCCTCTCCCTTCAGTTCCCCTCATCCTACCACCCAGAGTCCACATGCATTTCCCATCTCTCACAGCTGCTCCTCTGTCAGCTGACCTTGAGCGAACGTGAGCTTCGAGCTCCTTCTGGATGAGAGTCCCTGCTCTATTATTCTCTCCCCCACATCTCCTTTCGACCCCTCAATTTCTTTGGCCTGTTGACACATCTTGATCCCTCCCCTAGCCTATCTCAGTCTCGGTTTGAGATCAGCCTGTGCCCTGGAACCTTCCCAACCTCAGCAGCAGCCTCCCTGCCTTCGAAGTCACCTAAGACTGCACCCTTGGCTGGGCTTTTCACTAGCACCTCTAAAGGAGCCGCGACATCTCACCACCCCGCAGGGGTTGAGCCCGAAGTCAGACAGCAGGGCAGGCGCTCACACTGCCCTGCCAGGACCCAGTGAAGGCGGAAGCAGCCCAGAGCAGAGGGGTCCACCTTTCTGTGGGCCAAGCACCAGAGGTGCTGGAGAGGTAGGCCATTTGTGGTGACCCCCTCTGTCCCCTACCCAGCTGCTGCCTTCCCACAGGGGTTCTGTCCTACCCACTGGACCTGCAGTTGACCAACGTTGGAGACCTCTCAAATCAGGGACCTGTGGAAAAGAATCAGAGAGGTACACGTGTTAACTAACATCATTAGGTGGACCCCTTCCTGAGTTCCTGACCACGTTTTCCCTCTTGCTGATTCTCCTTGCGAAAGCTTTGCCTGGTGGTGCGAGGTTGGTTGCCCACTTCAGAATCAGACTGTGGGCGAGAAGACTTAGAAAAGGCCCCCTCCAAAGCCCATTTGTAGGCTACTGGAGATCCCCTTGCAGAGGGGTCTCGGGGAGGAGACGAGCCAGTCAGGGTGCGATGTAGCAACGATGAAAAATACAACTTTCCTCTAGTTCCTAAATGCTTCCTCCCCACTCCCACTGTCATGACATGAATTGTACCTTGCAAGTCTGGCTAGACCAGAGGATGTACACTGGTACAGATGGAAGCTGGAAATACAGGGAATCCAGGGTGGATGATCCCTACGGGACCAGTGGTATGAGTGGCGATACTGGGAGGGTAGAGGGAGAGTGGGTAGGAAAAAAGGAACCAATTACAGGGAACTATATGTGACCTCCTCCCTGGGGGACAGACAACCGAGGATTAGGTGGAGGGAGACGTCGTCGGACAGGGCAAGATATGACAAAATAACAATTTATAAATTATCAAGGGCACAGGGGGGAGCGGGGAGGCGGGGGAGGAAATGAGGACCTGGTGCCAGGGACTTGAGTGGAGAGGAAATGTTTTGAGAATGATGAGGGCAGTGAATGTACAAATGCCCTTTACACAATTGATGTATATATGGATTGTGATGAGAGTTGTATGAGCCCCTAATAAAATGATTTTTTTTTTTTTAAAGAAAGAAAGAAAAGGCCCCCTCTCCATTCCTGGCTTCCACAGCCCCAACTCACAGTGACCGCATGTCGAACAGAGCAGAACACTGCTGTCCCTGCGCTGTCCCATGAGCAGTCACATAGCAGATCATTGTGGCCCACAAGGTTATCACTGGCTGGTTTTCTACGGTAGGTCACGAGACCTCT